TTTTGCTGTTGAATCCTATTTTAACATAAACTAACGTGTTTTCCTGAATGAATGCCTCTATTGTCCTGCTGCATCAGGAATGCAATCTCGGATTTATGTTGTCCATTCCACGGACACACCAGCGTATTGAACATCCCATTTTTGCCTTGCTGTAAATGTTATTGCCTCTGTGGGGCCAGTTTGAATTATTGAAGCTATTGGCTTGTAGTGCTTCATCATTTGTTACCCTTTTAACTGCCTTACCCTTGTAACATGGGTATTGAAATACGAGGTGTAAAGTTTTCACTCTAGTGCTTGGGTAGCAGCACATGATGAAAAGGATTGTAGAAAATATTCCTGTTCTTTAGTGCATCTTTGGATCTCGGTGCAGCTCGAAGGAGCGATGGTAGTTATGCAATTGTCCTGGCAATAGCAATTAGGGCTTTACAAGTGCTTGTAAATGCTGCTATTTATAGGATGGGCACTTTGTTTAACCAAACGCTAATCTTTCTCTGAGAGGGAGAAATGTCAGAGCAGAGAAGTTCATCCTTGGGATGGGACTGGACTGGAATGTCCAAAGGAACAGCACTTTGTCCTTAATGAAAATAGAGGCCTCAAATAGGCTTGTACCCGGGGAATGGAGGCAGATTGTAACTTTGGAATATTTGGAATATTAGTATGAAAGATCTGTGGAGCTTTGCAGGTCATAGGATATCTCTTGTGACATGTGAAATATGTACTTTTAGTTCTCAACCTGTTACTATTGATTAGTGAGAAGCAGAACAAGCGCTTTGTTCTCCTGAACTTCCCTGTGAATCTGGGAAAAGGGGATTTGAATGTGTTTTATTTCCTGCTCTTACTTTGTGAATCAGTTTGTCCAGGGATATTTTTAGAGCCAGAATAACAGTACTTTTGTTCATCTTTCTCTTTAAGAGACCCCGTATGTCCTCTTGAATATAACTGATGGATTCCACTTTGGGGAATAACAATAACAGGAATCAGGCTTAAGTCCAAGAATAGAAAAAGCCCTTTTTTACTGAATTAGTTACATGATCTACTTGGTGATAAAAGTTTCAGGCAAGGGATTTTTCCTCTCTGTGTTACTTTGGTTGTGCTGTGTAAGTCATGTGTCCCGGCAGCATTCACACACATGGTGAAGTTATTCCCTTCTTCCTGCATGCCCAGTAAGTGATTGGATTAAGCAAGAATTAACGGAGGGATCCTGTCAGCAGCAATCCAAGTGCAGGAGGAAGCAACAGGAGGACAGTTGCTCAGGAGAACTGATGTGACCTGCTGCATACTGATACCAGCACACGGTCAGTGAGGAGAGGAAGGGGTCAGAAAAGGGAAAAAGAAAATAATCCTTTTTATAAAGACAAACGTTTAAGTCACGGGGAAAGCCTTTTGTGGAAGGCAGGAAATAAATCCTGGATTGTTTTGTGTCTGGTCATTGCATTTGTTTTCAGTGCTGCCTGTGGCCTCCTGTCCCCGTGAAAACCTGCGGGAGAGATGAACGTACAGTCCCTGGCAGAGCTGGGGTTTCAGGAGCTCTAGTGCATGTGGTTGCAGAGAGCTCCTCCTGGAGTTGCACACTGACTTCTCTTGTACCGGCAGCAGATTTGCTGGTGAAGTTGTGTCTAAAGAAGGAAAAGCCTTTGTTTAATAGTTTTCTACTGGAGTATTCTTAGTGTAAACAGGGATATTCACTGCTGGAGCCATGCTTTTGGGTTGCTTTCAGTTTTATAATCAGGATTTGGGGGGGGTTTATTATTTGGTTTGTTGGTTTTTTTTATATCATAGGGGTTTTTCTCTGTGGAATTGTTCTGTTTCCCATTCTTACAAAGGCCAGATGGGCTCATCTGCTGTGCGCTCAGGGACAGCTTATGGATTACTTTGCTTTGTGTCATTTAAAACATTCTTATTTATGCACAAGGAAGTTGGTGATAACCACGTGGTTCGTGGTGCAGAAATGGCCCGCAGGCTGCTGCTCCTCTTGTCCTAATAGGCTTAAAGGAATTACCAGGGAGGTAAATACGAGTTCCGTGCGGGTGGTGGGCAGGGCAGGGCAGCGCGCAATGCAAAGGGTGTGTTTGGGGTGAAGCCCTTCCCACAGGATTTCAGCAAAAGCAACACTACCAAATAACAGTCCATTCTGATTTATGAGGAGGAATGTTAATCATTTTGTAAAGATAGATAGATTGTGTAATCAGAAGCCCAGACAGCACCTCAGGACATTAACACTGTAAGACTCTGCTTGAGCCTAGAGTGGTGTTGGCGTGTGCATCCCTGTAACACCCTGTCCTGGTTCAGCTTGGCTGCAGTAGTGGTGAGGAGGAGCAGAGGGACGAGCCAGGCCTGCACATGCTGTTCTTTTCATTAGCAGCAGGAAGAATTTCAAGAGAGATTTTGGTGCCATTGATAATTTCATTTGTGCATCCAGAATGTGCCCTAAAACAGCCAAGGGGAGCAAGATCGGAGCTGAGGAGCATGGAGGAAAACTGCCCAGAAAAGGGGACAGTGTGGCCTGGGGGCCTTGCTGGATGGAGCTGGGACGTGTAGAGGGTGAGCACGGGACTTTGCTAGGTCATGTGGAAGAAAACGGGATCCTGGAAAGCTGTAGTATAATAAAACTAAGGTACAAATATCATCCAAATGGGTAAGTTGTGGTTGAGGAATGTTGGCTGCAGACAGCGGTTGTACACTGTTAGCAGGGATTATGTCCTGCATCGTATACTCGCTGCCTTGCGTTCCGTTGAGGATCAAGTTTTATCCCGTTTAAGAAGCTCTGTGCCCCCTTCTTCCTTTCCAAAGGAAAAGAGCTCCAGGATGAGAGGAGCAAACATGTTCTCAAGCACTGCAAGGCAGATGCTGGGTTTGCAGCTTCATTTTTGCCCTGTGGTACTTCCTGTTGGCATCACGCTTTCTGCAGCAAGACTCACTGTTTTACAGCATAACTCTCCTCACAAAACCGTTGCAACCTTGGAATGTGGGAACATATTAATTGGATTTTAATGGTGTTTCTTAGAATAAGGAGTGGGTGAGGGAGGAAGACTTCATTCAGATCTGTGAGACTGCGGAAGGGACAGATTGATGCTGATAAGCTCATTGGGTTAGTGCCTGTTTTAGAAAGGAGAGGTTATGGGCTCTGTGGGGGCTAGAACAGGGTGTAAGTGGTCAAGACACAGTTCCAAGTGGGTTGGGAGATGAAAGGGAACGGGCAAGGTGAGTCCACAGCCTGCCCCAGAGGAAGGCATGAGTGCAGGGGACGAAAATAAATCCCTGCAATCTATGTGCCAGTGTGGTGTCAGGCTGCGCAAGGGAAGCTGAAGGTGAAATAACCCTTTTCCAGACTGCAGGCTCAGGAAGGCAATGGTCTGTGGTGGGGTTTGTGCTTTCCAGATTAACATTCACATGCAGGGGGCTCCATGTTCCACAGAATCTGCAAATAGGCATTTTGGTAGGGGTTTAAATGCACACCAAACAGATCGGACAAGGGGGGTCCAAGGGCTGCCCAAAGGTAGACAAGAGGATGGCAACACAAAATTGAGCCCTTCAGTGAAAGACTGTGAAGCACAGGATGAATTGCCTCAAAAGCAAGAGAATGAGAGCTTTTAAAGGGGAAAAACTAAGCATCTAACCTTACACAGCCACCAGCATCGCTACAGAGCTTAAATATGCTTTTCATTAGGACAAATTCAGGTTACTTCTTGTTGCTGAAATTGTAATTACTCTGGTTTGCCCTCATCTCTGCACTAAGAATATAATTAAAGGCAAAGCTGCTCTGCCTTTGTGGTGAGAGCCTGGAAAAACTGCTTTGTCATGGCAAAAGTCATATTTGGCTGGAAAAGCAGCTGCTTGAAGGTCAGCTGCTCAGGTGGCACTTCCCTGCTGCAGCCACACAACGGAGGTTTACAATAGAAAGTAAATGGCAGTAATTGAGATGATGGCAATGCAGAGCTCGTGTTTAACCAGTGACTGGCAGCACTTGAACTGCAAACAGTACTTGTGGAAATGTGGCTTTATCTGTGCTCAGACTGGGTCTCTCTGTTTGCACACCAAGTTGGACCTTTCAGTTTGACCTTTTGGGCTGTAGGTGGCAATTTTTGTTGATTCTTTAATAACTGTCTGAAGAATAAGCTTTTTATTTGCTTTATACGGTTAAATGAGGTGGCTTTATGCTTCCACATGGGAGCCAGCTCTTTTCCCTTCAGAGGCTCAGGATTTTTGTCTCGTGGTGTTACCTGTGTGCATCTGGGTCTGTGCCACCCTGGAGTCTGAAGCTCTTTCTTTGTGTGCAGGAGAGGCCTGAGCAGTGCTGCTGCAGTGAGCCCTTCCCTGCTCTTAGTGTCATCTTGGGCACCACGAACCTGTTCTCACTATGAGGCGTGAATCCGCTTGTATGGATCGGTTCCAGCAGAAAATGCAGATTATGGTAAGTGGCAGCAAAGCTTTTGGAGAGCTGGAGAATATGCATTTATTTCCATTGTGTAGCTCTGGGCCTTAGCTAATAGGTAACCCATCACGCTTTCAGACACACCAATCTTGCTGGTTTTGTCAACTGCAAGTACATTCTCAATGCAGCTGAGCAGCTGTTTGTATCTTGAGAAGGAGTTGATGTTTGTATGTCAACATCGAGATGTTTGCTTTGCAAAAGAAATCTGTGTCTTTATTTTTAAGCATCTCAACCCTTGAAACTTACTAATGGGAACTCGGTGCCTTGCAGAGGCTCTTGTAGGTTTTGTGATGTATTCTATGGTGGTTAGGTCTGATCAATGAATAATGGTGTTTGTTGCTGCTCTTCTAGGGGAGGAGCAGGATGTCTGTCCTTGTGATACTCTCTGTAAGCAGCATATCTGAAAGGCACCTTAATCTGAGTTTAGCTACTGCATGAATTTAAATTGGAATGATGTTATTTGATATTCATGCTGGCTCTACATCAATACTTGCATTTTCTTTCTTGTTTTGCAGGTTCTTTTTCCTTGTTGGATTTTTTCAGGTCTGTTGAATGTGTAATTACAACTATGGCAACAAGAGTAGAAATAAATTCTGCTTTGGCGTCTTTGACGACAGTACCTGACTTAAATGAGATCAGAAAGGAGGATAAATCACAGCGTGTGTATGTAAGTGTGCTTTCAGATGCAACTAGCAAGGCAAAGGAGGCTTCAGCATCACTGACTCTGGAAGAGAAGAGCAAGTTTGGGAGTAGTGTGAGATCTGCAACGATGCCATCACTGGGATCGCAACCGAGGCTCTTCCCAAAGCCCTTTTCGAAAGAGAAATCTTCAGATACTTTTGCAAATGTAAAACCACCTGTTCCAGCTTTCAGATCAAGTAGTCTTATTAGAAGGGCCCCTGAAGAAACATCATCTGTTAAGGTACTGAGTGGAAATGTTCCTCCATTAGTAGATCAGAAAGCAATAGACAATGAAAGTAAGGCTGGCAGTGAAGTGGTCACAAACATGACTTTCTACACTGGGCCCAGTGCAAATACCGTCATTCTCTTTGAGGCAGCAGGCACAGAGCAAGCAAAGGTGAACCTGGCCCAGGAGAAAAGGGCTGCTGCTGACCGCAGAGTATTTACTACTATGCAAACGAAAGAGCTGCAGTGCAATGCCAGGCTGGAGAAACCATCTGAGGCATGCAGGAGTCCTGAAGGCTCTCTCCATAGGCACATCTCTCTTTCCTCCAGTCTCAGACCAGCTTCCTGGAACTCCCTCAAAACTGGTGAAAAAAAAGATGCTTCTGAAGTGCATCCGGGGGAGAAAACCAATGATGATGCAAATAACAGCAGCAGAAAAGCTGATGTCTCTATTGATTTGCAGCAAAGGCCAAAGCAAAGACCAGTATCTGCTGTTTTCCTGGAATCGTTACGGGATCAAAAGCATCGCACTGTGGAAGCTGCTGAGGAGACATCTCCTACAGAGAAACCCAGGAAACCCAGGCCTTTGTCCATGGACCTGACAGCTAAGTTTGAACATAAAGATCTTTCTCCTTGCAAGAAGACTTGTTCATCTCACGACAGCAAGGAGAGTGCATCGAGAACATCTTTCACTGACGTGGGCTGTCACGATCAGGCTGAAATGGGGCCAAAACCTGAGGAACCTGAATTCAATAAAGGCAGTTCTTCTAAACCAGCTCTGAAGTGCAGTAGTCAGGAGATTGGTATCCTAAATAACGGAAAATACATCTGGGAGACAAAGCTTAAACCTAAAAGTGAACAAATTGAAACGAAACCAGAACTAACGACTGACTCGCAGGGTTCTGAAAGAAGCCATGAAATCACGTGTGAAAACAGAACTGTTAAGGGGGGGAAGAGAGCAGTTCAGAAGGACACGTGTATGATCCCAGGCTCTGAAAGCCCTGCAGCTTCCTCAGAAACAGAGAACACTATCGTAAGAGGTAGTGTTAAAAAACACATCAGTTTGTTTACTCCTGAAAATCCCAGTACCTCAACGGATCCAGAAGTGCTCCCATCAGCTGCTGAGAAGGAAAGCAGAAGTGTGACCATCCAGCAGAGAATCAAAGAGCTGACAACAGAAAATGCTGAGGCCAAGGCAGGAAACCTGCGCAGGTCACTGCAGTCACGACCACGTTCTGCAGACTTCACCAAGATGTGAGTTCAGAGAAATTCTGTTTAATCCTCTTAACTCCACCTCATTCAGTAAAACTTGTTCCCTCCGTGCAGTAAAACTTATCTTCTTGGTTCCACTAAATGTAATTTTTCTTTATACTGTTATTCTTGAGCCTCTTTCCTACCTTTTCCTACCCAAAAAGTAGGAAATTTAGTGAAATAGAGCCTGACAAGAGCTGCAAACAACAGCAAAAATAATGCTGTCAGTCTGGTGGCTGTGACAGCACATCTGTCATTAAAATCTCATGCATTCTGAGGTCTTGAGGTGAGCACTGCAGCCTTGCAAGCTTCTATATTTGTTAGAAGGCAGAAGGATGGTTCCCATGTCTCTGACAGCAGTACAGAGTATCGGGTTTTCAGCCAGACAGGAATCTTATTTTGCTGTCATATTAAAGCCTGAAGATCGATGAGGTCTATTCTGCCTGAGCTGTGGCCCTGAGCAGTGCTATTAGGGTAATATGAGATCTGCTATTTTTATACACCCAACCAAAGGAGCAAAAATCCTGTCCAGTACAAAGAAATTTAGTCCAAGATAAATGTATTCTCTCAGTGCCAAGTTGGGTAACTGTGGCCAGCAGTTGAGGGAGGGGATTCTCCTGCTCTCTTCTGCTCTGGTGAGACCCCCCCCTGCAGCCCTGCATCCGTGTTCATGGTTGTCTGTCATGCAAGAGGGAGGAGGGCAGAAGAGTGATGGGTTTAGGTAGTGTAAGGGAAATGTGCTTCGCATAACGAGTGCTGCGGGTGTTTTTCAGCAGGACCTGCTTTGTGAACCATGGTCTTTTAGCATTGTGATCAAAATAAGATTTACCTGAAGCATAAGAGCCTGAGTATCTCTTCCACTGTGCCTCATTATCTCTAAATCTTACACTATACAGTCAGCTGCATAATCAACCATTTTTTGGGAAACAACCATCCTTTGGTTTAGATGCAATGAAACCACCAAATACAGTTGCTGACTATGAAATGGTGATGTTTCTCCTTTAAGAAGTATGTTTTATTGGCCAATTTCTACCAGCCTGCTTTGGTGGGAGTGTATTTGCCAACTAACTCGCTGGAGTAAAGGACGTAACAGAAATCCCTTGGTTTAGGTTTTCAAGTCTGACTTCAAGCAGTGAAGCAAAGCCTGAGAAACCCACTGAAATGAGAAATGACTCTATAGGGGAAACACCAGAAACCCCAAAGGTAAGAACGTGGCATCAAGCTGGTGTGGTCTGCAGCTGGGTGTGCATTGGTTTGGAAGGCAGAGAGCACTGTCCTGTGTGTCTTTATCAATCAGTGACTTGAGAATGGGTATTGAAAGTATTAAGAATGACATAATCCTAATAGGTTTACTTGTGTGAGTCTATCTTTAGGACATGCTGATCAAGTATGGGGGTCTTCAGTGCTGAGCGAGGTTATGAACCTGCTCAAGTTTTGGGCTCTTTTGGCATGTGTTGTCTTCTCTGGAGTCCAAAGTGGGTATAAATTCACCACAGATTAATATGTCTTGTGGAATCTGCACTCAGGAGCTCAGTCCTGCATATCATGTATCAACACTTCTGTCCTTTTTTGCATTAAAAGGAAAAATCAAGCTGTGAGACAACTCTGTTATAATCAGGAGCTACACAATTGCTTAGTTACCTTGGTCTGATTGGAGTTTGTGTTCAGAGAACATGGATGTGTTTAACCTGTACAGACCATGTTGCACAGAGTAGGTGCAAGTAAGTTTTAAAATAAGCTTTATTACACATCTTTTCAATAAACTCTCCTAACTGTTGGATCTTCCTGTTCCAGAGCAAGGAGATCAAGCTTGGACACAGCACTGATTGCACTGAGGCACATGCTGCTGGGAGCCCCTGGAAGCCCCGGCAGGTTTTGAAGATAACACATAAAGCTGCTGAGCTGGAGAGGAGTAGGAGCTTCCTTGGAGACAGCCAGCGTTTTCTCCAGCAAAGTGACAGCTCTGTCTCCTTCACAAGCAGCTTGGAAAGAAAACTAAACCCAAGCTCACCTCTGGAAAAGACCTACATTAAAACTGTCCGAGCCACCATGTTTGACCATCACGTCCAGAGGCATAACATTGCTGCTGATCACCCTGGAGCTGATTCTGCTCTGAAAGTGAATGATGAGCCTGAGACAAAGCACGATGTGGTGACTTCAGGGCCCAGCAGGCGATCGTGGATGGGAGAAGTGGAGGAAACCACAGGTATAAAGAAGGAGTTTCAGAAGCAGCCTGATCTATCAAAACATCCAGCAGATGGAGAGAAAAGTGCAAAACCAGCTGGGTCAAGCGAAGACAAGAAAATGACTTCAGGAATTCTCTTGGAAAAGTCTTTGGTTGAGAAAAGTGAAAAGCCCACTCCTAAACATGCAGAGGGCTCTGTGGTTTACCAGAGAATAGAGCCAAGGTATGAAATCTTCCAGACCTGTGGTGAAAGAGCTCTTAGTGAAGCCATTACAATGGTTCCAGAGAAAAAGGCCATGACTCTCAGAACTAGAAAATCGTCTGTGAAGGAGAATAAAACCGATGAGGATGTTTCACACACTGGGCAGTTGGTTAGGACGTGTAGTAAAACTCTCTACTTGAAAGAAGATAGTATTATTTCAGAAGCTAGAGACACAAAGGTGTTTACAAGCAAGGCTGCTTTGAGAGAACCCACTGAGTGCACTTTACTTGAACAGAAAAAAGATTCTGAGAAAACTAGTCCAATATTAATAGCTGAGAAAATCCCCTATTCTACAAACAAAAGTAAGTGTTTGGGAATGAATGAAGAAGCAAACAAGCTGCATTCTGAAATTCAAAATGAAAAGAGTGAAGCCTCTTCCTTGGATAGAACCGAGAGGTCTAATGTGATGAAATCCTCTTCTGAGAAGAGGAGTTTTAGACCAGGAGGGACAGACAGCTATGAATTCAGAACCAACTTGGACTGGGAAGTTACTTCAAGTGTCAATAAACATGGGGCCCAGTCCTCAGTGCTTTCAGGTGGACAATTTAGTACATCATCCAGTAGCCCCCAGCCTGATCGAACAGCACTAACAGTTAATAAAGAGGAGCCTAGGGCCTTTGGTTTAAGGAAGAGTCTAGACTTCACTCGCAAAGAACAAGGCTTGAGCTTAGATGGTCCAGCTCGTGAAGGCAGGGTCACAGATCCAGAAGAGAAAGTCAGAAGAACCAGAAGCAGTGTTTCTGACTTGAAGATTTCTGAGAGGTGGAGGAGGAGAACCTTGCCTCAGGATTCCGTCAAGACAGAAGAAGTCATCTGGCTCACCCCTGAGAATATCAAAAGGCTGAGTAGGACAGATTCACTGCAGTTGGATGAAGGCTTAGTTAAAAAGAGAAGCAAGAAAAGCAAAGAAGGGGTGGAAGGGGACGAGGCAAACCAAACTGCTCTTGGCAGGCCTGCTGATGACCTGAAAAACCAGAGTTCTGCCTTTGAGCCAAAGGCAACTTATTTTGCAGTCACTTATCAGCTCCCTGATAACAAAAAAGAGAAAAGCCTCATTTGTGCTCCTAGTGCAAGTGAAACCAGAACAAGTTCTAGCTCAAGTGAGGGAGCCACAGTTAATCTGGATCCTGTTTTCTCTGGAAGGCCCAAACTTTCCTTGCAGCAGCCAAATACAAACGTGAGGAGTACAAACTGCAGAGAAGCCTCACGGGAAGTGCACGTTAACAGGGACTGGGGCAAAGATGACCACAAAAATGGTGTTTCTTCCAAGAACTTTGCGTTTGGTAATTTTCCTGTATCTACAAAAGATCACCAACAGTATCATGAAAAAGGGCTGGATCGTTCTAAAGAGAAGATTATAGATGTTGATGCTTTCCTGTTGAAAAAGGAGCTAGAAAGTTCAGTTCAAACTGATCTCAAAGGTAGCAGAAGAAAAGCCTCCTCTTACCATGGGCCCAGATCCCCGCCGTGTTTTGCACAGATACCTAAAGACAGTGAACCAGCCCCCCTGAAACGGAGTGAAAATCACTCTGATTTACCTGGGAGGAAGGCTGAGGATGGTTACAGGTCCCAGATCCTCGATATCGACGCGCTTATGGCGGAATACAAAGATGACTCGGTGAAGGCCAGTAATGTTCAAGACAAGCTCTCTGAAGAGCAAAGTTCACTGAGCAGGGAGAAATCAAAGAACAAGAGAAATGTGTCTGATAGGGTGACTTCTTCCTATAGCTGGCAAGAGTGGAAGGGGTCAGATCACTATTCTGTTGTTAACAAACAAGGTGAGTGTGCAGAAGAGTACAACAGGCCAGAGAAATTAATTCTAAATGAAAAGAGCAAAGAGAAACGGGAGTCACGTAGCCCTGAATTTGATAAACCAAAGTCCAAAGACAGAAAGTTCCTTCCTCCTTACTGGGGAAACCCGAGCAGCTTTTGTCCAGAGCAGTTTGTGAATTCCTCTGCGGAGTTCACAAGGAAGAAAACTTTCATTGTTGATGAGGATGAAGAAGTGAACTTCAGTTCCAGGAGCCAGAGTTCAAAACTGATGATTGATAAGGTACAGCCTGTCAGCGCGGTTGCTACAGACCAAAGGGTGGAAGTGAATTTTGCTTCCAAGTTGTCCATAAAGGCGGATGATGGCCTCTTACAGAAGAAGTTGGTCACAAAAGAACAGTCACTGGAGGCATCTCCAGAAGGTGACTGGAGCAAAAACGTAGCAAGGATCTCTATAGTGAGGAGCAAAGACAGTGCAAATAAGACTGTGTGCGAGAACGACTCTTGCAATGTGAAAAGCAAAGCTGATTGGAAGAGCTATACCTCTGGCTTGGGAAGTGCACCCCCAGATCTGAGACGATCCTATTCGGAAAAGAGCCGCCAAGGAAAAGACACCCTGCTGCTTCTGCAGGAAGTGAGGGCAAGAAAGGATCTGCACCCATCCAGGCAGAGCTTCCCACTGGAAGGAGCTGACAGCGGATGGAAACACAAGGTGGCAGCTCGCTCAGAGTCGTTCTTCTATGAGGATAAAAAGGTATTGCACGGGGTATCCAGGTGGTCCTGGAACTAACAGTGAAAGTGAGGAGAAGCTTTGATTAGGTGTCTACGCAGCTTTCCAGCATCAGCTGTGACTTGGCAGCAAGTGAGCAGGGACATCCAGTAAAGTTCCTGTCCTCCGGGTTGTGTTTTCTTGAGGAATTTGTATTGTGCTTCATGGCTAGATTCTTCTTTCAAGTGTATAAATATTTATTGATGTTTCCGTGGAGAGCCTGAAAAAGCTTTTAAATGTGGGTGTGTTGTTATTAATGCTAGGATGCTAAATTGTTAACTCTGCAGTTCTATAAGTATTTGAAAAGAAGTAGTTTGGGTTTATTTTGCAAGTTGTCAGCAGTGAGCTTGGAGTTCTTCTTGGGTTGTTTTTTTATTTCATCTTTTTTTCTGAAGGAATCAAATTCATAGAACCACAGAATCCCAGAAAATGGTTTGGGTTGGAGGGACCTTACAGCTCCTCCAGCTCCAACCCCTGCCACGGGCAGGGACACCTTCCACTAGAGCAGGTTGCTCCCAGCCCCTGTGTCCAACCTGGCCTTGAACACTGCCGGGGATGGGGCAGCCACAGCTTCTCTGGGCACCCTGTGCCAGCGCCTCAGCACCCTCACAGGGAAGAGCTTCTGCCTCAGAGCTCATCTAATCTATTCTGTATTTTTACTGGGTGAATAGTCCTCATGTGTAGGTGAAACTTCCCTGCTGATACTGGCTGGTGACACGTTACTGCAGAGCCAGGTGGACACTGATGCCTGCAATGTTTTTCCATTTTTATGTTCAGCTTTGAGCTTCCTCTGTTCTTCTTTTCATTCCACAGGCTTCGAGGAGAGAGTGGAGCAAGCAGAGTTCAGATGGAGCAGACTTCTCCCTGGTTTCCACCCAGAGAAGCCACCACAGCTTTTACAAGGAGAGAAGGGCGGACGACGGGACGGTACGTGGCTGTGGAGAGGTTCTGGGGTGGGGGCTCTCAGCTTAGACCCTGAAACTGAACTATTGCACAAGCAGAACCATTTCAGAGCCTGGAAAATGACAGCTTGAATTTTGTTCTGTTAGCAACACCCAGAGAACTGTTTATGTGGAGGCTCACAGCTGACATTTTGGGTTGTCTGATTTGTTTTTTGCGATAAACTCCCACTTAGAGTTGTTGTAAGAATATCACTTAGGTAATATTCTCCGAAGTTGCAGAAGGATGTCCTGACTTCAGCCCACGGTGGAATTTTCTGTTGGGAAGTGGCATCCTGTGTCCAGGTGTTGGTCTGAAATACAAAACAAAAACCTGGATCTTCCAGAAGTTACATAAATGAAATGCCAGAATTTTCTGTGAAAAATGCAAGGTTTGAGGCCCCATCAACAGGCCAGAACTCAGTAGTTTTAAGAGAGACATTGTTGCTGCCACTGAAATCCTTCCTTACTGGAAGAACTTGTTTGGAACCACTGCAGGTGCTGTGGCTTTTTGTTGGTTTTGTTTTTAACCTTGTGCATGGAAACAGTTTTGATACACTGGAATAACACTGTAATCACTTCAGAGTACACTGTTATAACCCCCCACACGCATCTTCACTGTCTTTGGAAATCTGGGTGTCCCACATCTTTTCAGAGCTCCTCCAGATGTGTGACAGGGGGTGACTGAAGGGTGGTTCCATTCTGACTGTCCCAAGGTCATCTGTCCTCTTGGTCTGCTGCACACTCGTGTGGTGACTGAGAGTATTGCTTCTTGCAGAGATGCTGCTTTTGTAGTTACTCACGCTGCTATTTACAGCTCTTCAATAGAGAATAGACAAAGAGATAACAAAGGAAAGGAACCGAATTCTTTTTTCTAGTGAAGAAAAAGGAAACCTGTAAGGATTTTGTAACAAGTTTCCTAATAGGAGTTTTGGAAACAGGCTCATAGTGTTGCATTTGTAGCCTCAAAACTTCATGAATGGTATCCAAGGCTCCTATCCCCTTGTCCTTCCCATTCTCAGCGTGGCCTTCAGCTTGAATCTTCATCTTGGGGGGAGCTGGGGTTATTTACAGAGTTAGCAGTTATCATTTAGTCCCTAAAAGTTGTTATATGCCATCAGCTTATGGTGCAGATATGTAAGATGATGCTGACAAGGCAGAATATGGGGGAGAAAAGTGCTGTCAGAAGTAGTGCTGGGGTGGTTGGACTCTTAGGTACTGTGCTCACATTAACATGACTGTTATTCTCCAACCTGGTCGTGAAGTGTGAGGTGACTCAGGATGGACCCTTGACTTTGTCCACTGTAGCCTGAGACAGGAAAGGAAGGCTGAGAGCCCCACCAAATAAGAACACTCTGTCCAGCATCCACTGGAATTGCTTTGAAGAGCTGGATCGTGGTGTATTTGTTCTGCAGAGCGTGGTAGCAACAAGGGCAGCCAGGTCTCTGTGTGTGTAAAGAGAGGTGGTGGGAAGCTCACCATACGTTTCTGTTTGCCAAAGCCCCCCGCAGATGTCGCAGAAAAGGATGTAAAACTGAACTGTTTCTTCTGGCACCAAGGTTGAAACCTCTTGTTTTCGTTTGGAGAAGCTCTTGGTGTGCAGTTTGCTGTGTGGTCGCTGTTCTCTTTGGAACGTTTCAATACTTCCCTCTGGTGGAGAGACCTGCTGTGGTTGTGTGGAGGCTGAGCTCCCTCTAACGCACTGTAACTGCACCGCACGGTGGTAAACCACCTGGATTTCAAAGATGGTTTCAAGGATTCCATCACAGCTGACACATGTCTTTAATTCTCTGACGTTGGGTCACAAACCTCAGCTCCTGATGAAGTCATCAAGACCGATAGGAGTCTTATGAATTAGTGAGGAATGTGCAGCTCACCCCCCAAGTAAAGTAACTGCACTTGTATTGGGCTGAAGGTTGTGCCTTCATCTGCAAACAGCAGCTTTAATGCAGCTGTGGGTTAGAACCAAAATTGCTGCTTTGTGTAGTTGAAACAGAGCTCTCTGGTACTAGAACTGGTGTAGGCATGAATTATTGTGAAGCCTCTGGTTATACATTTTATCTGTTTATTTTATCATAGAATCCCAGAGTGGTTTGGGTTGGAAGGGACCTTAAAGCTCCTCCAGCTCCAACCCCTGCCCCGGGCAGGGACACCTTCCACTAGAGCAGGTTGCTCCAAGCCCCTGTGTCCAACCTGGCCTTGAACACTGCCAGGGATGGGGCAGCCACAGCTTCTCTGGGCACCCTGTGCCAGCGCCTCAGCACCCTCCCAGGGAAGAGCTTCTGCCTCAGAGCTCATCTCAATCTCCCCTCTGGCAGGTTAAAGCCATTCCCCTTGTCCTGTTGTCCTTTGGTGAGGAAAATCTGGTATCCATATAAAGATGTGGCGTGTGGGTGGAGAAGGGTTTGTTTAAGAAAATCATGAGCTGACTCTTAGAAATATTTTGGAAGGGAACTGCAAGGGAGAGAAGATAAATATTTTATAAACATGAGCAGATGAATTTGTAGCTGGGCTTGTCACAGTTCAGCAATTCCCAGTTCTGCCCATGACAGGTCTCTCCTGCCCACTGCTCCTGCACGCCTTCTCATCTCTGCCTTGTGTAAAGCCTCCAGTACTGCAGCTTCACCCTTCCCAGTGCAGACACGTGCACTGAAAACCATGCGTGGAAAACTGGGAGACACTGAAAAGAACTTGTCAGCTCTGCAAGATCTTGCAGGTGGCGATCAGAGAAGTGAGGGGTGTTTTTGTTAGCCATCCAGACCCAGAGCCCCAAGCAGAGGAGGCTGTGGTGTCCTGGAAGGTGTTTGTGTCCCCTCCATGCTGTTCCTCACAAGGAAAGGTGAGAACTGGAGACGGAACAGCCATCAGGGTCCTCCCTGGACTGGCTCTGGTCACTTGTCTTGCCTTTTCCCATCCAAACCCAGACACAGGTCAGAGAAGCAGGAACAGGTAGATGTGTTGCAACTCTCATTTTGCCCTTCACAAAGTACCTACAAAAACCGCTCTTCAGTCATTCGGTTCTGCTTCCTATTGCTAAGACCAGCCCGGAGGAGGTGGCGGGTGTTGGTTAAGGACTGGGTTTGCCCAGGCTTGCTTCCTTTTTTGGTAGTATTCACTTGCTGGGAGCATTCCAGTGGCGTATAAAAAGTCACTTTGTTGTGTCTGTTTCTTCTGGTTCACAAAAGACGTTTTTATATTTAAAGCAGGAGCTCTTTTCACATGTGGTTTTTGCTTCTCCTTCTACATTAACTGAAAATAAGGTCAGCTGGCAACCCCGGCCACTGACAGCATTTCATAACCCAGCCTGCCAGCAGAGAGGGGGGAGAAGCTTCTCTT